TGGGGACCTGTTTCCAGACACATGGATATCGCTGGCTCCCAGGAGAATATGACTTAAATCAAACTACCAGGTGAAGTAGAATTAAAATGGTGCATCATGACAATTCCCAATTCCCTTTATGTGATCATAAATAACTATTTAGTGCCAAATGCTATCACCACTTTTGTCTTAATTAAACAAGAGAATAGCACAGGCTGCATTTATTGGGGTGACAGCAGCCGGATACCTGGTCTGGACTGGGACGTGGGGGAGGTTTCTTTAAATGACAACGAGCCCTCCCCACAGCCGAGTGCCATCTGGCAGCAGCCCTGTAAGAGCTCACACCCTCGCCTCCATTGTGGACAGACTGGGGGACTGGGCTCGCTCAGGGTGTTCTCGGAGGTGCCTGACCAGCTCTCATTCATGGGCTCTCTCCGGCAGCGCCCTCCTCCCTCCCTGCCTTCTGCTTCCCTGCTGCCCCCTGGACTTTTCTCCCTGTGTGCTAAGTGCCTCTGAGTCTGGCCCTTTCCAAGCCTGTCACCACTGTCTTGGCTCCATTTTGCAGCTTCGGCTTTCACTGGAGTTAACTGACTCCCATCTCCCATGTGGGAAACCTGCCCCTTCACCTTGAGGGTAGGGGTGCTTGGAGGGCCCTGTGCTCCTTACCTCAGCAGTGAGAACCCACATATGCACTGACTCCTGGTGTGAGAGGCTGCCCCCCCCACCCCACCCAGTCCTGCTCCTCCTCCTCACCTGGGAAGTAAGGAAGAGGGACAGGTCGCTGGTTTTCACTCCAGAGCAGAGGGGCTCCAAGGAGCCTCTGAAGAGGCCTCTCAACCACCCCTTACCCTCTGACTAGAGAACTTCTCCCCTTTATCAGTTTGAAAAAACATGATAAACCAGGCTTCTAAAACACAGTTCTTTTGAAAACAAAAACAGAAACTGTGGCTGAAAAAAGTTTAAAGTTAAAAAAAAAAAGAACGTGATGATCTAATATCCTTTCCAAAGCTTTCAAACACTTTGAATTCCCTTCTCTCCCATCTCCTTCTTGAGGCCGCCCTGGGTGGGGAAACAGTCGGTAGGGGACATTTTACAGAAAGCATTTGGCACTGGGCTCCAGCCTTCGGCTCCTCTAATGGGTCTTGGGCAATTGGCCCAGGTCAGATAAGTCACATCAAAGCTGAGGACAAAACCAAAAGATTGGATTTCTTTTTAAATTAGGAAGAAAATAAATGCACCGTTTCAAGCTCTCAACTGATCTGGGTTCCTGGAAGCTGTTGACATGCTCTTAAACAATGTCTTAAATAATTGTGCCCCGAAATCCATCACAGGTTTTGAAGTTTCTGCTTTGTTTTGGTAGAAAGTTGTTCTAAATCATGAGATGAAATGTACTCTGGGGTCAGGTTGAGGCATGAAGGGGGGAAAGGAAACTAATATTTCTTGAGGTTACATCAAGCTTCAGGGATGAGGTAAAAATTAACTGGGAGAGTCCTCAGGACCAAAATGAGTGTCCCATGCTGTAGGTTAGTGGCTTTGAGAATTAAAGACACATGCCCACAGTCACACAGCTGATGTGATGGGAGGCCAGGATTCAAACCAGGTTTCATTGACACCTGCGTTTTCCACGTCCTGTAGAGAGCCTGAAGTTTATGAAAGAAGACTCCGTTTAAGACATCATCCTGGGGTCCTTGGGACCAGCAGTTAGCGTAATGGCTATGTCGCTGGACTCCCATATAGTCGACCGTGGTTTGAATCCCGGACCCAGTGGCTTAAACTCACACTGGGCACGTGCCTGTGCGTGGCCAAGATCCCGAGAGGAGAATGGAGGAGAAGGGACTGCAACATAGCCACCCCGCCAGAAGGTGATTTCTTGCTTTCTGTCTCTCTGTCTCTCTTTGTTTTTCTGGCACGTGCACACGCCCTATAACAAAAGCCTCTCCAAACAAACAAACAAAAGACATCATCCTGGGGGCCAGAGGCCTTCATAAATAAGGCCCCCTATAATGGGGACACTTGTCCAGGACAGATGCTGAACAGGATAGGAAGCAAGGACATCAGGCATAAAGTGGGACTGTCCTGGGCAACCTGGGATTCAGGGTTGCCTTCCCCTCAGGTGGAGCAGATAAGCTGCTGAGATGCCAAGAAGTGGCTCCCACCAGGAAAAGCAGAAGTGGCAGGGTCTAGATTTAAGCAAGACTCCTTTGAGACTCTGTGCCCCACTATAGCATCACCACTCCTGACAAGCTTTCTTCAAATGCCCAAGGCCATGGCCAAGTTCCCTGAAGCATGTAACAGTCAGCGCTCTGGTTGGCACTGGGAGAGGGGTGTAGAACTAGCTCCAGCATGAAACTTTATTTTCACTGAGCATTTCTTTCAGAAGGAACCACATAGCTCCAGCGTGAAACTTTGGTTTCACTGAGCATTTCTTTCAGAAGGAACCACATCAGGGGAAAATATCCAAATCGCATCTTGGTTCTAAAACCAAATTAGGGGGCCAGCAGATGGCATGGCAGTTAAAGGAACTGGATTCCCACATGGCTGACTGCAGTTCGAGCTCTGGACCTAGTGGCTTGCTTTCTCACTTTCCCTCTCCCTGTCTCTCTCTCTCTCACCCAATTAAATATTAATAATAATAACAAATAAAGATAAATAAAATAATTATTTTAAAAAATTAGAAGTTTCATGCAATCCTGAATACTCCATGAATCAGACCTATTGATCAATAGGTTAAAAGAGTACCCTTTCTGGTGTTTTCAAATCCTTTAAGTTTTGTCTATCTTTCATTAAAGCTGAAAATCAGTATATCTGCTAGAGCAGGGGCCCCCAGCTTTCGGGCCTTGGACCACACAGTAAAGGTCACACAGTAGGAGGTGCGAAGCGATCCTTCATCTGTATTTACAGCCTCTTCCCATCGCTCACGTCACCGCCTGAGCTCCGCCTGTCAGATCAGTACATTAGATTCTCACAGGAGCGCAAACCCTGTTGTGAATGGCACATGTGTGGGATCTAGGTTACATGTTCTCATAAACCATCCCTCCAACCCCTGTCCTTGGAAAAACTGTTTTCCACAAAACTAGTCCCTGATGCCAAAAAGGTTGGGAATTGCTGTGTTAGAACATTGCTAATGCCGTGGTCTGAAATAACCAGAAAATGTGCATAGAGAAGTTGGTCCCAGCCACAGGAGAGAGAGAAATATTAGCCACACCACTGTATTTTCTGTATTTCTGATGTCTTAACATCCAGGGCCTCAGTGACCCTGGAAAGACTGTCCCTTTCAGGGCTAGTGCCTATACAGAGTTAACAACTTACCTTCCAGAGAACTTTTCATGTGCAAACCAACCAATCAGCAGCCTGTACCCCCACTAGCTCCTCTCAGGGCCACTAGCCATCTGCCCTAACTACCTAGGGCAGGTAGCAGACAAGCAGGGATAGCCCCTACTCCCCAGAGTCCATTGAAAACTTTCCCACTAGCCAATCCTAAACCTGCTTACCCTGCCTCTTCCATTTCTTCCTAGGAAAGCCATAATAAAAGTTCTTGGCTCTAGTTTTTTTCCCTTCTCATTTCTTCTGGCTCCTGACTGACTCTGGTATGCTCCTGGGTGGCCTTGTGGCATGAGGCTCCCCCTCCTTGGGAACTATGAGTAACAAGCCTTTTCAATGGCAACTATGGCTGCTCTATAGGCCTTGCTATACTTAAATAATATTAAAACCTTTTCTTTTCTTTCAGTTTTTGCTATCGGGCATGTGCACTTGCCAGACGGAGACAGACAGAGACAGAGAGGAAATTGAGAAATTACTCCCCAGAGAGGATGGCCACGTGGCAATCTCTTCAGTAGCAAAAAAAAATTTAAAAAAGATACCCTGGTAGGGGCCAGACAGTGATGCCCTGAGGTGCTGACCACCCCCCATAGAAGCGTCCCAGGAGGCCTCTTTGTGCACACCAGGCACACGCATGCCCATGGTCCAGGGCTGGCTGCGAAGTGGGGTGGATCGTGGCATCGAGACATGTTGGGGATGCTGTCACTTTGTCTACCTTTCCATTTCTCCCAATCATGGAAGAAATATATAATAAAACTTCAAAAGGGGAGGGGGGAATAAAAGGACCAGCTCTGTGGCCTGGTGGTTAAGGCAGCCAGACCCCACATGGCTGACCATGTGGTTCGAGTCCCAAACCCTGAAACTTGAGAACACACTGAGGGTATATGTATGTGCCCAAAATCTCAAAAGCAGAGAGGAGATTGCAGCATGGCCATTCCCATGGGGGTGCTTTCTCCTCCCCCCCTTCCTTCTGCTCCCTCTCTCTCTTCTTTCTTTGGTGAGTACATGTGTTCTTCAGAAAAAAAATAAAAGATACCCGATAAAATGTTATCACAGCATCATCCAGGCATGCTTCACACTGAGCGAAGCGGTACTCTACACTAAATTGGGGAAAGAAAACCATTATCGACAACAAGTAACTAATCACAGCTCTTCTAAAGCCATTAGTTCTTATAATAACCATCATGAGAGTCTGTGAGCCATGTAAGTACTTTTGGGTGGGAAATACATTTATAGCATACAAACTAAATTAAATGTGTTTAATTCAAAAAAAAATGTATTTTTGATAAGTTTTTAGCAATTCACTGTGTTTAATTGCAAAAAAAAATGTATTTTTGATAAGTTTTTAGTAGTGAAGATATTAAATGTAGAAAATGGACTAGTCATAATTAGAAGCCCGCCTAGTAATGCTGGCATTTTTTTTCCTCATCACACTCCTGCTAGGAATTCATCTTGAAATGTGTTTGTAAGAGTTCTTCTTTGTTTCAAAGTTAGGGAACAAATGTATTTCCCTGTGAGAACAAAGTCCATAAATATTTTATGGAAGTGAGAGAAGGGAATTGAGTTCTTCCCCAGAACATTTGTCAACCACTGTAAGGACAAGAAATCCACTTTGCCCACGTCGGCCCCGTGGTGTTTGCCCGGAAGGTGTCTGTGAGCCAGTGGTAAAGGACGCACTCAGCCCTCAGGGGTTCTCTACTCACCCTTTAGCCAGCGTTGCTATGCCGACATCCGTCAGCTTCATTCCTACACCTGTGGAGAGAGACAAAGATGGCGCTGTGTTATCGGGAAAGACCTGCATCTACTTGTGGGGAAGGGGTAGTCACAACTCCATCATCACTTCTCTTCCTGCATAAACACGAGCTTGTCATCTGCACCCCCCAGGGGCCTCTTTCAGAAACACACACAGCTTAGGGGGTGACACCAGGAAGAGGCCCCCCTGACACAGCAGTTCAGGTGAGTTGAGTTGCATGTGAGCTAACAGCCAAGCCCTCCTAGCTCCAAAATGATGTCTTCTGCTGGCCAGGCCCATAGCACCCCCTGATGGGGGGAGCCAGAACTCCAGGGGTGAGTCTTAGGCCTGCTGCTTTCCCAGGAGTCCCCAGAAATGCTGAGATAGGGGCTGAGGTCAAGCCACTCCCCTCGTTCCTGTCCCCCCACCCCCAATGAAAGAAGGAGTGGGCCTGTGCTGGGCCGTCAAGGTCAACATCAAGGAAGATCAAGGTCAGACTCCAACTCGACCATTTCTGATTTCTATAGTTTCTCATCCAGGACTGAAAATGTTCTAGATCAGCTTCAGACCCAGGAAAATACCTGAAGTAGACTAACCAGAGCGTGGACATGCTGGTATTTGGAATCCATGTCTGACCCTTTAACCCTTATCTTAACCTCACCCCTTAAATCATGGTGGGGGGCAGCTACCTAAGCATCAGCAAAGAGCCAGAGGCATCCCTGCTAAAATCCCAAGCACAGGAAAATCTTTCTGCTCCTGTCTCTTCAGCCCACAAGATTGGGTGAATAGCCAGGGAACCAACACTCACAGTTCTCCATTGTGAGGGATGGCAAACTGCCACCCCTCTGCAGGAGAAACTGCCAGCCTCTCTCACTCTACCCTCGTCTCAGCCCAACCTTAACCTGTTCCAGGTCTAGCAGGAAGAAACAGCATCTACCTGAAGGCCAGAGTGTGGATAGCCTCTAGGCCTTTCCAGAACCTCTGTGCCCAGCCCAGGTGCCAGTTCCATCCCTGTCTCCCTAGGGCAGTGGCTCTGGACACTACCCACCTCAGTGGACCTCTGCCAAGACCTCCCTGTGCAAACTAGAGCTGACCTTTGATCACTGGGCACAGTGTCTACAGGGCACCCAGTGGCGGGGCTGGACCTGTCGATGCCAGGATTGGCTCTTACTCTCTTCTCTCTGCTCCTGGAAATTATCCTATGAAAGACAGGCTGGTATTCCCCACCCCTAGCAGGCAACTCCCTGTGGAGGAGCCTGGCAGCCTAGTAACCAATGTGGAAGGGCCAGCCAGTGGTATGGTGTTTAAGGCAGCTGGATTCCACATGACTGACTGTGTGGTTCGAGTCTCGGACTTGGCAGCTTAGAAAACACCCTGGGCACATGTGTGTGAATACCCAAAATCCTGAGAAAAGAAATTGTGGGGTGGCCACTTTTGGGGAGTGCTTTCCTTCTCTCTCTCTCTCTCTCTCTCTCTTCGGCAAGCACCCATGTCCTATAGCCAAAAATAAAAAGGGGAGGGAGCCAGTGTAGGCTGTGGAAGAAATCCACCCCCCTCCACCTGTGAGTGCAGTTTCTGGAGCCTGGGAAAGGAAAGCTGAAGGGTAATGCTGGAACTCAGCAGTGTCTGCCGGGAGCGTGGCAAAGATGCTGACACATGGCTGTTTGGGCTGGTTAGGTGGGCGGAAGCGAGGAGGCCTGCGTTTGTGCAGTGCACCTGCAAGTTCAGTTAGACACAGTGTGTTGGGGGAGCCTCTTTCACAGTCGGTAACCAATTTCTCTCATTCTTTCAGAGCCACCAACAACTCGTACATATGTAGACATGTTTCACATGGTTTTTTATTAGAGGGGCTATATATATATTTTTGTTGTTGTTGTTGTTGGTTTGGAGAGGTTTTTGCTATAGGGCACATGCGTTCACCAGAAAGACAGAGAGAGACAGAGAGACAGAAAGAGAGAAATCACCCCTCAGGGAGAATGGCTACACTGCAATCCTTTCTCCCATTCTGCTCTCGGGACCTTGGGCATGCATGCACACATGCCTGGCATGAGTTTAAGCCACCTGGTCCGGGACTTGAACCACAATCGACTACATAGGAGTTCAACAACATAGCCATTACACCAACTGCTGGTCCCATTAGAGGGGTTATGCTTTAAAAAGAGTATAGTCCAAATTGCAAAAACCCTCTTTGGACATCTTGTTTCAGGGAAAGTTGTGTTTAAAAATCACAGCTATAAGTTGCATGGCAGTCCAATTTAAAAAAGTAATTTGGTGAAAGATCCTTGCACTTAGTGAATTGCTTTCCTTCTCCAAATTACCAGTTTAGAAAGATAGAACACAATTTTTAAAAGGAAACTTCTAGAGATTAGCAGAGGGCGTAATGGTTACATTGCTGGATTCCCATGTAGTCGACCAAGGTTTGCGTCCTGAACCCGGCGGCATCAAACTCTTGCTGGGCAAGTATGTGTATGCCCAAAATCTCAAGAGCAGAATGGAGAAGGGATTGTGGAGTGGCCATCCTCCCTGGCAGGGAGGGGGCAGTGATTTCTCACTTTCTGTCTCTCTGGCGAGTGCATATGCCCTATAGCAAAAATCTCTCTATAAATAAATAAAAAGGGAAAATCTCTTGCTTTAGTAATTTGCCAGCAATTCAGCCAAGGTTATTAAGAACAGCTAGGGGATAATAATTAAAATTCTAGTGTGCAGCTATCAACTGAGTTAGGGAATAACAGTAATCTATCAGTTATTTTCTATGGAAGAAAGGAGGTTGGGAGCCAGGAGGTGGCGTGGTGGTTGAGGCACTGAACTCAACCACCATGGCCAGTTCACGTCCTGGACTCGGCAGTTTGTTTTCTCCCTCTCCTTTCTCTCTCTGGTGAGAGCACATATAGCAAGTTTATATAATAACGAACTTAAAAAATAATGATTAAAATAATAGATCATTCTTTTAAAAACCCCCACATTCTAAAAAACAGAAAGAAATAAAGGTTGTTGATGACATTAAGAATTCATTCTTGGGGTCAGCAGGTGGCACAGTGATTAAGATGCTGGACTCCCACATGTTCAACCACAGTTTGAGTCCCAGACCCAGCAACTTGGAACTCACACCAGGCATGTGTGCATGCACGCCCAAAATCCCAGGAGGAGAATGGAGGAGAAGGGATTGTGCCCTGGCCATCCATCCTGAGGGGTGATTTCTCACTTTCTGTCTCCCTGTCTCTCTCAGTCTCTCTGGCAGGTGCAGGTGCCTTATAGCTAAAATAAAAATAATTTTTAAACCATCCATTCTCCAGAATTTGAGTTCTTAGGTCTTTTGAGCAGCAGCTTCTTAGAAACCCAAGTATCCTCACCAGTGTGCAGGTCTTAGATTCAGTTCACAAGATTGATTTTTACCCTACGAACCTGCAGGATCTGCCACCATTCTATAAGCAGTACATGCAGCCAGGAGGGGAATAACTTTGAAGAGTCTGAGAAGGTCATGGCTGCCTTTAGATTTGTTTGTTTTAATCCGAATTCCAGGGTCTTAGTAAAATTACCAAGACTGGAGATTGTTGGGGAATGGACGTGCTCGCTCATGCCATAAGGACAATCAAAAGATTTTTCCCAGCAGCAGAGAATAAACAAACATTGCTGAAACTTGACAGCAGCACATTAAGCCACAGACATCATTTACAGAGAGATGCAATATTCCTCCACCAACGTTTACTAGTGCCCGGAAGCAAAACTCACTGAGCATGAACCTCTAGGGTGTGCTTTTCAACAGAAGAATGATATTTAATGCAAAATTAACTCTGAAGGAGAAAAGCCAGGAAACAAGAACAACCACACAGCTAGGATCTAACTAGAATAAACAGCTGTCTGTAAAGACCGTAATTGTGTGTGTACCAGGAAAGTCTCTTCAAAGAATGAAAAGATATAGCTCCCTTAAACCAGGGGTCAGCTGGTGGAGTGGTGGTAAAGGCTGCTGGATTCCACATGGCCAGCTTGACAGTTTTGGACCCAGGAGCTCGGAAAACACGCTGGGTGGATATGTGTGCATACCCAGAATCCCAAGAGGAGAATGGAAGAAAAGGGATTGCAGCATGGCCATCCTCCCTGAGTGAGAGCTCCTTCTTACTTTCCCTATCTCTCTTTGTCTCTCTCTGGTGAACATACATGCTCTATGGAAAAAAAAAATGCAGGTCAGCCCCATCTGCAAGCCCATAACGCTGCATTTCACAGCTGGGTTGCAAGTAGTTCCTCAGAGGGCTCAGGGGAACTAGAAGGAAGGTGCATACAGGGGCCTCTTAACTTCCAGGCACTCGGGAAGGTGGGGGAAGTGAATCTCTTGTGAATCTGTTAATTTGTGGTTTTGTAGAAAGAGTCTGAAATTCAGAGTTTGAACATGAGGGTTGTATGCCAGCCAGTAGCCTGGTGGTTAAGGCAGCTGGATCCCACATGGCTGCATGCACAGTTCAAGTCCTAGACCTGGAGGATTGAAAAGCATGCTGAGCATGTATGTGTATGTGGTCAAACTGCCTTAAAGAGAGGGAGATGGAGGAGAAGGGATTGCAGCATGATCATCCCCCATGGGAGTGCTTTCTCAATTCCCTCTCTCTCTGCTGTTCTGTCTCTCTCTCTCTCTCTCTCTCTTGTAAGTGCACGCACCTTCTGGCCAAAAAAAAAAGAAAGAAAGGAAAAGAAAATGGGGGATACAGTCATGAGCTCTTCTACTTCCTGGCTGAGTGACAGCCTTAGTTTTCTTATCTGTAAAGTGGGGATCATAATACCTTCTTTGCAGGGTTCTTATGAAGATTAAATAGGAAAAGGGGCAGCAGGTGGCGTGGTGGTTAAGGAGCGAGACTCCCCACATGGCCAACCACAGTTCCAGTCCTGGACCCAGTGGCTTGCTTTCTCACTTTCCCTCTCTCTCTGTCTCTCTCTCTCGAATCAAATTAAAATATAATAATGATAATAAAAAATGAATAAAATGAATAATTCTTTTAAAATAGGGGAAAAGTACATATGTAAGTGGCAAAAATTCAAGTAAAGCTATAGTCTCGTTCATTCTATCGTGTCAGTGTTGGTCTCCTGGTTTTGATCACGCACCCTTATACGTAAGGTGCTACCATTTGACGGAGCTGGATGAAAGGTACATGGGGGAAGCTCTCCATACATTTTTGAAAATTCCTGTGAGTCTGTAATTATTTCAAAATAAGAAGTTTCAAAAAATAGGGAACATTTCCTATGTGGCAATGCTGAAGTAAATGTCTGATTCGCTGAGTCCTCACGACCAGCCACGCAGGAAGTATTGAAGCACAGAGAGACAAGTCATTTGCCCAAGGCTGGCAGCAAGGCAGGGGACAGAACCCAGGTCGTCTTGCACGCTAGAGATTAGGACCCTTGTTTGTGGCAGTGTCTGACTTTAGTAGACATACAGTAATATTTCCTATTTTTCTTAACAGTATTCGCATTTGGAAAGAAAAAGAAAGAGAGACGCCCAGCGGCAGACGCTGTTGGCGCCTTACCCATGGCTCTCACCATAACTGCTTCTGTGTGCCTTGGCTCCGCCTCTAGTGTTCCTGTGCCCGAGAACATTCTCTGTTCATTTTTAGCCCAGCATGGCTTGCCACGTGGCAGGCAGCATGTGCTGGGGAGTCAATGTCCCTATGAGAAATAGCCTTCAGCTGGTGACAGTGATAGTTGGCCTATAAACACCCCTACTCCCTCCCTGAGACGTGCTCTCTACATAGGCTCCCAGCAGAGGAAGCTCCGGTTGCTCCCAGCAGGAACTGGGTGCACATTAATGCACCCTACTGACTGCCTGACTGCCTGGGTCCCCCGTTCCCACTCTGAGTAGTGTTTCCTGGGATCCCTTCCCAATGAGCTATTCACATGTCAATGTTTGCCTCAGGTCTGTCTCCCAGGGAACCCTAATTATGATATTCCTACTTCATACAAGAAATAGTATTCTTAACATTTTGAGTAAATATTGAAAATGTGCCGGAAATTCTCCAGGGAAGCTTAAAACCTAAAACATTCTGAAGACCCCTACCAACTGAGAATGAAATACCACATCTGAGTTTATGTCTGGTACATCTGGAGTATGCATATACTTCTGAGTTTGTGCCTACTGAGAATATAATAATAAAGCCAGAGCCAAGTGGTGGCACAGAAATCACAGAACTACACCCACAAGGAAGAGGTCCTGGGCTTACATCCTGGCTTCCCTGAGCAAACCAGGCGTGCACGTGTGTGTTCATGCCTGTGATGCTGGCTTGCTGAGACTGGAGGTGGATTGCTGGGAGGACCCTGAGCAGGGTTCCCGTCTTTCTGTCTTTCTCTCTCAGAAGAAATAAATAAACTTTAAAAAAATAAAAATAAAGCCAATCTCTGGTTGCCTTTTGTATTGGAAAAACATTATTGGTACAAATTATTGAAATAAACTTTATTATGCCATTTGGCTGGTCATCTCAGGCTCCTTTATCGAGTCTTATTTCTTTTTAAAAAATATTTTATTTATTCATTTACTTTTTATTATCATTATTATTCTTTAATTTGACCAGAGAGAGAGAGAGAAAGTGAGAAAGAAAGCCACCAGGTCTGGGACTTGAACGGTGGTTGGCCATGTGGGAGTCTAGCACCTTACCCACCACACCACCTGCTGACCCCCATCAAGGCTTACTTCTAATGAGACATTAGGTGCACCTTCTGTGGGTGAAGATACTTAAAGGCACCCAGCAGAACTCTCCCTGCCCTTCTCTCCACCCATCCGGGAGTAGTCCAGGCCCAAGGCAACTCCCGGAGCCTGGGTCAAGCTGTTCTCCTCACCCTGCATGTCCGTGACCAGGAGGCAGCCACTTGTTTTCTGGTATACCCAGTGCTGGAAGGTACAGCATTTCTGACCAGCCTCTGAGTCTCTTCTCAAGAAGTTTATTTCTTTCCCATCCCTGATGGAATACTTCACGAATTCTCCAATCAGCTCCTCCTCCACTGTTGCATAAGGGATGTTGTTCTCAGGCCGATGGATAAGAAAGATAGGAATGATCCTGACAGGGAAGAGAGCATAGGCACAGGTCAAGTTCTCAGAAGAGACGCTCCTGGGGCATTCTACCCTCACCCAGAGCATCCAGGAGCTGCAGAATTGATCCCCGAGTGGCATTAGATTTAGACTAAAAATCCTCCCAGTCATTATCTAATGGGCAAGAGGATATGTTTCTGTTTTTATTAGTTCTTAAAGTTGGTTAGAAATTCCTCCTTGGGATGGAGTTTAATTGCTCATGTCGAAATGAATGGCTTCATTACAGTCATATCTTAGTAACCCAGGAGTCGATAACTGTAATCCATCTTTCCTTCCTGCCTGCTTGCCTGCCTGCCTTTTCCTTCATTATTCCACCCGTTTAGCTATCACTGATCCATCCATCCTTTCTTTCTTCCATACAGCATTCATCCGTCCACCCACTCATCCTTCCTTCCTTCCAGCCATCCACTCATCCTTCCTTCCATCCACTCACCCACCCTCCCTTTACCCTTCCAACTACCCCCGTGTCCATCCATCTGTTGTTCATTCTTCTTCCCTTTAATCAGGTCAGCAAACACTCATTCAGTGTCCTCTATGTGCAGACCTCTTGCAGACACTTTTCTCTGAAACAGCAGTAAAGAAAACAAAGCCTCTGTTCTCATGGATCTCACATTTAAATGAAGGAGACAGACTGAGCAAGTAAGTGTCTGGTGCTACACGCTAGGGGGGAAATAAAGCACTAGAGAAGAAACGGGAAAGGGGCTGCCATCTTATTCAAGAAGGTCAGAGAAGTCTTTGCTAATTTATGAAGGACAATTGAGTAGAGACCTGTCAGAAGTAAGGCAGGGCGCCATGAGGATGTCTATAGCAAGAACATCCCAGGTGAGAACAGCTGGTGGGAACAGCTCTAGGGCAGGAGCACCTTAACATGCTCAAGGAACCCAGGGGCCTATGTGGGTGGAGTGTGGTAGGCAAGGGGAAATGGCAGTAGATGAGTGAGGGGAGAAGGGGCAAAGGAAGCCAGACCTCGGGGCCCTAGAAGGTCACTGGAAAAACTGTCCTTCACACTGAGTTGGATGACAAGCCACTGGGAGAGGGGAGTTGGGGCAAGGGAGGGACATCAGACTTCTGTGTTACAAGGCTCACTGCCACCTGTGGAGGACAGGCTAACAGAGGGCGAGGACAGAAGCAGGAAGACCGTGAGGAGGATATGGAACAACGACCACAGCGGGAAGTGGATAAGTAATGAGATCTCACCTTCACTTTCAGCATTTTAATCTGTTCACTATCAAGCCATCCTCCACATCTAGGATGGTGTGATAAGTACACCGTACCTGCTCCACTTGCCTCAAACCACTCACATCTCCTTCCCCAATATGTTCTCAGTCTCCTGTTTTATTGTGGAACTGAAACCAGCAGAGAGAACTTCGAAAGACTGCCTCTAACACACACTGTCACCTTCCAAAGTCCATGCCCAGGGGCTAGAGAGTGGTGCAGTGGTCAAAGGTGACTTTCTGTATGGAGGACCTACAGAGGAAGGTTCAAGGTGCCCCCAGACAAGCACCTGGAATGTTACCCTCTGGGCATACACATGCCCAGGATCTGGGACTGACTGGGGGGGGGGGGGGGGGGGGAGCCCGGATTCCATTAA